TCCTGCGTCCGCCACGGTCCCGTGCGACCCTGGACAGCTGGTGAGGCGGGCCCAGGGGACTGGGGTCCTGTACGCTTCTGGGCTTGGGAATTGCCTTGGAAGAATTCTTGTCCTTTTTATTCTCCTTTTTTCTTTCAAAGGCTGAGCTCCGCGCAGCTGTGTTTTTAGCACTAGAAGAGCAAGAAAAAGTAGAGGTATGAAATCTCTGAATTTTAATATGACCGTATTCGTTAGGGTCTACTTTCTAATTAGTTCAAAACCACTTCAAAATACAATTTGTAGTATTGTTTTCCTGGGATAATTTGAACCATTAAGCTTCATACTGCTTTACTATTGGAAGTGAGTCAATTCTTTTTGTGTGTCTTCTTGAATTTTCGAGTAACCTTCAAATAAATATGGTAACTCAGGACGATGCTGAATTTGAAGTCTTAGGAGTTAGCTTGAAGAAATGGTTTCATTGTCAATGAATTAACTGTAGAAGCACCAGAATCTTTAAATACGCTAGTGTATATCGTGAATCCCTTCCTGGTAGGGGCTATGTAGTGTAATTCCCAAAATTATGTGACTATTCAAGTAATTTTTAAAACATCATTCTGTCTTGTCAAAAAGTCCAATCTTTGAATTTAAGTTGGTAATTTATCTTTTTCTTAATACCCCAAGTTCCACCAAACATCTTGAATATCCTGTGACTTGTCAATAAGAATCTCTTCTTCAATTTCTAAACTCTTCCTCAGTGACTATACATCATCAGTTCCTCGTCCTTCCACTTTTTTTTAACCTTTGTACCTGCTCGTTAATTTCATCAAATCCTTCAGCTTTTTGCTCTCTCCTTATCTTCACATCAGTCTTGGTTTCTTCTTGTTCCTATCTAGACTAGACTCCATTGTCTATGCCTCAGAAACCCTGGCTATTTTTTCTTTACAGTCACTCTTGGTTTGGAAGAAATCTTAATGCTCGTTTCATCCAGCAGGCTAACTCCTTTCCTTGTTTCTGCATAGGGACTGCTAAAGAAAAGTCAGGTAACCATGTGAATTGGTGCTGTTACAGTTTGGTAGACCCCAGCAGCTCTACTTTTCACTGGCAACTCCCACGTCAGCTTCACTTTGGTCTCCTCTCTCTTTGTCTCCTTCACTCTGAACCCAATCCTAACCCTCACAGGTCCTAACTTTTTGTCCTCCTCCTGCCCCAAGTCTCGTTTACCTCAGGAAAAGCTTACCTTTGTTTTTCCTTCCTGCTTTGGTAGAAGAGGATCTGTCTTTTCTAAGCTTAATCACATTGACTTTTGCCCTCCATACACACATCTTTTTTAGTTGTGGTGTCTTTGACCTCTCCCTTTCTGTTGGTTCTTCTCTTCCTCAAGAAAATGTATTAAAATTTCTCTTAAGGAAAAATGTCCTGCCACTGTTTTCCACTCTTTTTTTTCTCTCTCACAGCCAAGTTTTGAAAGAATATATGTTTTATAATACTTATACCTGGTTTACCATTTTTTATGTGCCAAGCATCCCTTTATCCACTAAATTTTAAGTCCACCGCTACTATAAGGAATTCTGATGGTTTAACTAATGGTCAACTTGGAACGTGCAGTTGAACTGAGTCAGCATGGTCTGGGTGTAGAAATTCACCTGAGAATTGTTGACAACAGCATAAAAAGAGAACTAGAAGGAAAGATAGTATGTTGTTGATTTTCTTGGAAAAGCTTGCTGTAGTTGGTTTTCCTAGTATGAACTCAGCTGTTCTCATTGTCAGAGGAGTCTGAGTCCTCACTATCATGGCTGCTGTATTCATCAAGGGAGCTCTGGTCTTTTTGCCTTGAGTATTGCTTCCTTGCTCCAGTGCAGATTTTTCAGCCTGGTGACACAGATCCTTCACCCTGAGGATACAAACTTTCTAGTTTCCACCTCTGGACTTTGGGCCTTCCCAGTGCAGATCCATACAGACTTGCATGAGACATTACCCTGGGCTCTAGGCCCATGGCTGGATTCATGGACATTGCCTTGTGCCCTATGCCTTTAGCTGGACTTGTGTGGGACATTTCCATGGGATTCAGGCCCTCGGCTGGATTCTTCAGGTTCTAGTGCGTGTACAGATCTATTGCACTCCTCTGCATTTGACTTTTTGTGTGAATGTTATAAAATAATCCTATAAACTATGTATCCTGTATTAAGTCTGTTCTCTTGCAAATCTTGACTACAGCAGGAATTTCTCTTGCTATAATCAAGATGCTTTAGTTCTTACCTGCCTTGGTTGAACATTGTGCATTTGATATTAATTCCTCCTTCCTGTTTAAAAGTCTCCCTTACCTTGAGACCTTTCTCTCTCCTTTCTTTTTTCCTTTTGTGTATGTTTTTTAAGAGCAGGAAAAATTTATTGAGAGAAAGAAAGCTACTGTCTAAGAGAGACACAAGGGGGACTGGAAAGTGGTTTGCCCACTACTTGCTTTCTTTTTTCTTTTTCTTTTTTGATTTTTTGAAACAGGGTCTCACTATGTAGTTGAGACTGACCTGGAACTTACTATGTAGCCCAGACTGATCTCAAACTCACAGCAATCGTCCTGCCTCAGCCTCCTGAGTGCTAGGATTACAGGCATGTGCCACCATGCCCGGCTTCTACTCGGTTTCTTTATCATAGTGTTTTCCTTGTATTTACACCTAAACTCTTGGTGCCCTATTGTGCATTCTTTCCCTGGAGAACTTATCACCACCAGTAACTTCAGCCCTATATTTTCAGTGTATATATTCCTCCTGTGTTTCACACTTAAATGTTAAACTGCAATGTAGACTACCTTTCTGGGACAGTCAGGCAAGAAATCTCATCATTTCCTAAGCCTATCTCTTTTTCCCACCCGCTTAGTTGTTGCTTGGCTGTGTCTGGCAGGTCTCTGAAGGATGTTTGTTGCTACCTGTTTTGCCTATATTTTCCAGAATTCCTTATCACTTTCCTAATCTCTGATCTTGCTTTTGCTGGTGGCACTCACTGTCTACCTCAAGTCCTTTCTCTATGTAATTCCTAGCTTGGCTATTTACATACTTGATCCTGGCCTTTGATTTTCTTTGAATATTTTAGTTATTCACTGTCTTAAAATTTCCTAGAATAGTTTACCAGAAAGCTTTCTGACCTTTAACTTCCTTGTCTTTTATTGTAACAACTTGATATGTAGATGACATACAGTAAACTAGATATATTTAAATATGTAGTTTGATAAACTGTAACATTTATGCAACTGAAATGATCAATGCAATCAGGATAGTAAACATAGGGGCTGGGGATTTAGCTCAGTGGTGCTGCCACCTGCCTCACAAGTGCAAGGACCCTAGTTTGATTCCTGGTACCAAAAAAAAAAAAAAAAAGATAGTGAACATAACCCTGACCCTTAAAAGTTCTCTTGTGTCTGATGGTAACATCTATCTCCTAGCATCCTGAATATTTTTAAGAGCCAAGCATATGGGATCATGTTGTATGCAGTTCTTTTGATCTGGTTTCTTTTATTTAGCATGATGTCACGTTCTAGAGATATTTTGAACTTTTAAAAAAATACTACCAAACTGCTTTCCAAAGTGGCTATGCCATTTTTCATTCCCATCAGCAGTATATGAGGCTGCCGCTACACCAGTAACTCGTGATTGGCTGCGGAATGGCCATCGTGTGCTACTGTTAGCCTCATTCTCAGCAACAGTTACAGGTTTGATATACAAGAAAAAATTTTTCTGTATTTTCAGTCTATAATTACCAAGGCAAATTGGCCAATAGCCACATAAAATCATCTCATATAGTGTTGATGAACCGGCAGTTGTGATTGTATATCCTATAAACTGTAGAAACCTAAGAAGATAAATTATCAAACTGCATATATTTGAAAGTTGTTTATATAAGTAAATTTAATTGTCTTTCATGAGTATTTAAGATTGTATCACTTTAAAAGCAGTTTAATAAAACATTTAAAAATTAAAAATAACTAAACATTCATATGTATGGCTTGGTTTTATTAACTTTGAGAAGCTATTAAATAGCACAAAGCAAGTGCTGTAGTAATCAGCAGTTTTAGACTGGATTTCATAAAACCATAATTCTATGAATGACAATGTATAACTTGTATTCTTGCCAGAAAATTGAACTATAATGTACATTTTGTAGTTATTTTTAAGATAAACACATGACACTTAAAATGTTTTATTTTGTTTTTTACAGAATAAAACTCCTTTAGTCAATGAGAGCCTGAAAAAATTTTTAAATACAAAAGATGGTAAGATGCTCCATTTGTTCTTGTTTTTTTATGTGACTGAATTTTCAGACCTTGTTGCCAATTAGGAGAAATCAGGAATTTTTTAAATGTCTGTGCTTGCCATAGATCATTTAAAAATAATATTTCACTGTATAGTGGTAAATATTATAGAATATAGTAATAGTAGTTTAATAAATATTTTTACTGTAAAATGAAACACTGAAATGGATGAAGTTTAAATTGTTGTCCAGTCAGTTTCAGACTGATGATACTAATGAAGAAATAGGGAAATTGGGATTTTCATTACTTAATTATATTATTCAAAGTTAACAAATTTATAACTGAAAACTTTAGAAACCTCTTTGCTCTCATTAATTGTGTCTTATTTCACAGTGCTAATTAAATAATTCTGAGTTCTTAAAGATTTACACACATATCTTTCTCTTGCTCTTTACAGGTCGTTTAGTGGCAAGTCTTGTTGCAGAATTTCTTCAGTTTTTTAACCTTGACTTTACCTTGGCTGTTTTTCAACCTGAAACTAGCACAGTAAGAATAATGATTTTTATACCTATTCTATGAAACACTTGCTACAAATGAGTTCGGTTAAAAACTAATGAAATTAGATAACTTAGCTGCATACAGGCTATTATTTGTAGTTGGTTATCTGTTTTTCTTAGGAGCCATCTGAGCTATCAGGTTGGGCACCTGTATTGGTACTTCATATAACTTGAATTTTGCTAATAGGGGAGTGTTATTGTAGAGATACTCTGTTACAATATTATGCTGCAGCTGTTAATGGAGACTGAAAATAGATGTTCTATGGAAAGTTAAAAATGAACATTATTTCTTAGAAAGCCTCATTGAGTTTAAAAATGTCTTTATGTTCCAAAAATACTTTCTTTAATCTTTGGACATACTTTTGTGTACTTATATCATTTCTTTTCTAGTTTCAAGGTCTTGAAGGGCGAGAGAATCTAGCCCGCGATTTAGGTATCATTGAGGCAGAAGGTACTGTGGGTGGACCCTTACTATTAGAAGTGATTAGACGCTGTCAGCAGAAAGAGAAAGGGCCTGTGAATGGGGAAGTAAGTATAATCCCATGTTATCTTTTTTTAATTTTTTACTTATTGCCTAATATTTAACCATGCAGATTAGTAGATATCCATCTAGGTGTACATAAAAAGGAGATAGTCTTTAAAAATGAGATGGAATTCATTGAGATTGTATAAATGCATATTTTAATGAAAATCGAAATGTACAGATTCCAACATTTATTGTGTACCTCTTTTGCTTATTGATGCTTAAAGTGTTGGGTTCAGGAGCCCCTCACTGTCCAGCTGTTGCCTTGGACATGTTACTTAGCATTATAAAATGAAGGCAACATGCCCAGCTCACATTGTTGTGAGGTTCATATGCACATGTAACAATGGTGCTTGGCCTATAAAACATTGTTAGTTGTTTTTATTATTAGTTAAATACAGAAATGTTAATGATAGACCTAGATAACAGTTTTTTGGACCTAAAGCTTTTTAAAACTGAGCTGTTAATTTTGTGTCATTTCTAGACATTTTCAAACTTCTACTTTCTTGATTTGTACTTACTCCTCTTACTTGTAAACCTTTCTTTTTAAAAATCCTGCTGGTGGGATTAACTGATTTATTTGTGTACACATCAACTTTACATGAAGATACTCTGCTTTACAGATGGGGACACAGGACTGTTTTAGGTATCTGGTTAAGTGCATACTTTCAATCATAGAGGTGCACAGCTAAGAATGTGGAGGGTTAGGGCTACCTATTTATTCCATTTGGAGTCTCATTGTGTTTTTTGTTAGATTCATTAAAAATTAGCTTTTCTTTTATACAGTAATATTCTGTTCCTTTCAGAGGGATCTTACCATTATAAAGAAATAAAACATTATAAATTTTAATGACCTTTGAATTTTGAGCATAAAAACAAAACTAGCTGTGGATTAACCTGCTGAACGCTGGTGCTTTTTACCAAAATGACGTTTTGAAACAACCGTAAGCATCAGGTTGCTGGGCCCCATGTGCTTAAATGGGACTTTTGGTTGATTTTATTACACTTGATCTTAGCCAAAAGGCCGAGATGGTAGACTTTATTAAATAGCTTCCAGCTATTGGTAATTAAAAGCATTCTCTTTTTTGCTGAGCTCTTCGGTGAGTCATTGTCATCTCCTTTAGCATACTGATTGTCCATACTTTCATCTCTTTTGAGCAGCATCATTTCTTAAGGGTTCTTGGCTTTTCAGTCTCTTCACTGTTGTATTTATTTCTTTATTGTTTTCTTTTTTTATTCTTAGTACATGTTTGTGGTACATAAAAATCACATTTCTTGTGGGAAGTTGGTACATGTACAAACACATCTTCAATTCTTTTTTTAATCTTTCCCCCTTTCTTCTCTCACCTCTCCTTCTATCTCTTGTCCCATTCCTCTGTGCAAAAGATCTATTTCACTGTTTCCTATTATCTTTTATTTTGCTTTTTATTTACATTTTGAGTTTCTGAATCTGAGTATTATTTGTTGTGTTTGGCAAAATTAGAGGAAGATTAAGGATACTTTACTGAAGAAAAAATAATGCCAATATTGTATAGTATTTTTAAATGCTAAAATACCATTGAAATATACTTGATATATTTATGTTTTATCTTTAAGTGTGTTTTAATTTCAACTGTGATTCCAGGGTGCTCTGGATCTTTCTGATGTACATTCTCCACCAAAGTCACCAGAGGGAAAAACAAATACACACACAACCTCTAGTAAGGTGAGTCCCCTTACTAAGTACTACTTACTACCCCAAAAGCGATGTCCGAAGGAAACACCTCAGGGATTTGCTCCTCTCTGATCTTATTTGGCACATCTTTTGTTGTTTGGTAAGAAGTGCTCTTCAGTTACTTGAAGGGGCTTTTTTCCCTCTAAATGCATATATTTTAAAAAGTTCTTATGTTTTGTTGGTGGTGTTTTTAATTTTGTGTGGTAGAAAAATGCTCTTAAATATAAATATTTTAGAATATTTGGACTTATTTTGTACTTTGAACATTTTTGTTTTCTACTAACAAGGAGATTTACTTCATTTGTAAACTCCTACTTTGAAAATTGTAGGTTCCAATTCACACAATTGTTGTGTTGAATACTGCAGGCTATTAGATAAGTGACCAGATCTGGAATTGTAAATTATTATTTTTTTCTTATAGTAAAGATTGAGCTGTTTTAATAGGATTTATAGAAAATGTACTGTGATTACATTTGTAATGTGCGTACATGTGTGCATGTGTGTGTGTGTGTGTGTGTGTGTGTGTGTGTATGAGTTACTAAATGTAAGACCTGATTTCAAGTCTGTAACGTAAAGGAGAAAAATTTTGAATTAACACTTGAATGTAAGATCAAGAATATATGTATAATAGAAGAATGAACAGAGAGATGATTATCAGGAAAATTTGTCTCTGGTTAATGGTTAGAGTACAGCATGAATTGGTAATACCAACTCTTCTTGTAAAAGGATGAATCTAGGTCATGTCTTAGTCCTTTCAGGCTGCTATAATAAAATACCACAGACTGGGTAGCTAATAAACAATAGATTTATTTTTCACAGTTCTAGTGGCTGAAGTCTGAGATCATCAAGGCACTAGCAGATTTGGTGCCTGATCAGGCCCTGATTCCTGGTTCATAGATGGTGCCTTTCCTGGGTCCTCATAAAGTAGAGGGGGCAAGGGAGCTCTCTGGAGTGCTTTTAGAATTTGATTTCTTTTCAGTACTGATGTTCATTTACCACCAAAGTGGAGATTAAACCCAGGGCCTTTGCACTAAGCTACATCCCAAGCCCTTTTTAATTTTGAGACAGGGTCTTGCTCATTGGATATGTTGCCCAGGCTGGGCTCAAACTTTTAGTTTATCCACTTGAGGCTCCTAACGTGCCACCACACCAAGCTTGCACTCTTAAAAGGGCTTTAATCCCATTATGAGAGTTCTACTCTTTGGATCTAAACATTGCCCACAGGTAGCACTTCCTAATACCATTAATTAGGGGTTGGGATTTTGACATGAATTTCAGGGAGCCACAGACATACAATCTTTCATGGGTCAGACTTCTTTGATTTCTGTGGGACTAAAGGGATACTGTAGAGTACATTCCAGAAATTAGGCTTTGTGTGGGACTTGGGTGGTATGTCTTTTAAATCAGGTGAACTTCTGGAGGCTAGTGATTATACTATCACATAGCTCTCTTTAGGTGTCTAGGCACAGAACACTGCCGAATGATTGCTCTTATTATTTTTTTGCTTGTTCTGTGATGATACTCCTTTTAAAGTTTAGAATTCCAAAGATTTTATACTTTTTCTAGCCAAAGAGAAATATTACTATAGTTTTCGTAATATTCCTTCTGAGGTTTCTGTTTATTCTAATAGGGAAAGTCTTTTTGAAAATAGTTTTTACTTGATACTGTGGGAGGTTATATCCCTGATTACAGAGCAGGTCAGAGTAAATTTTAAAAATTCCTTTAAATGCTGATGAAAGAGCCTATGGAAAGAAGGAAGACCAGTGTATTTTCCATGAAAATATCTGACAGCCAGGAATTTAGCTCAGTGGTTCCAGTGCCTGCTTTGTAAGCGCAAGGACCTGAGTTTAATCTCCGGTACCACAAA